CTTCTTCTTCTTCTTCTTCTTCTTCTTCTTCTTCTTCTTCTTCTTCATCAGAGTAGAGATAGAGGTAACTGCAGACATTGTTTGGACACGGCCTTCTGCCTTATTGGACACGACATTCAGATCGGACTTACACTCGACATTGGGATTGAACTGTGTGCGACATTCGGAGATCAGAATTGGGTTGGACTTGGCTACCTCTATGTCCCTCCCCCTTCTCTCTCGCATGTCTATGGATCTCTCCCCATGTGTGTGAGCGGAAGGGCAATCTTTCTGATGTCTTGCCCTTCCGAAGTTTCTCCCTTTCATGTTGTTGTCCACGTGTCCTTTTGATACTAAATCTTSCKCTGCGCTGCTTCCCAGCCCATGATGATGATGATACGAATGTGTTGTTGTTGTTGATTTCTCGTTGGTTCACTCTTGCATCRTGCACATTGGCATCTTGTGAATGTGGCATCTATGCTGCTGGTTGTTGCCACTTTCGTCATTGCTAGATCCTAGGCTCTCAGTGCATTTCACTTTCTGATATGCTACACTGCCTGGGCTGGCATTCAGGCACTCGCATGCTAGTGGCAGCGCTGCTGGAGTGGACACTCGTGGGCTGCTGCTGGCACTGAGAGGCGAGGTGCTAGCGTGTGCGGTCGTGCAGGGAGCAGGGCGCTGCTGAGGGCAGCGCCATAGCCCAGCCTCCATAGCTGGTTGGGCTTGGACTACAGTGAGGCGCAGGGGTGGTCTTCGGGTGTACAAGAGGGAAGACGTGGAAGAAGACAGGGGAGAGAAAGGATGATGATGATGATGATGAAGATGTGAGGGCACATAACTGGTATTGGCGATGGTCTGCTATGCGCGACATCTTCAAGTACTTCGTGGGCTGCTGACGTCAACAGTTGCATCGTCCATTAGTAGGCAGACTGCAGCTGTGTAGGGATTAGGCTGGGCGCCGAGCGCCAAGTAGGGAGATAGGGCCTGGACACATGTTGGTGGTGGCGAGAGCAAGCTCTCATTGACATCAGGAAGCTGACGTGGCCAAAGTTTTATGTGGAGAAGTAGAGTCGGTGAGGGAAAGCCTCGCATGTTGAAGGTCTGAGCTTGCGGTACGGCAGAGGCTGTAGTGTGTATGCTCAGGAGCACGCCTGGTGTGAATGCGCACCCATGCAACTGGAAACCAGCAATTATTAAATTATTATTATTATTGACTTGTGGTCTGCTAAGTATCTGCAATTATTGAGACACCTGGAGCCTCCCTGATTGATTGCTTGAATCTGGTGGAGTTGTGGACTTACCTGGATGTGTTCTCATCACTGGCCGTGGTCTGAACTATCCCTGCACAGGTCATACACGTCAGAAGTCAGTCATCATCAAAGTGAAAATAGGATATTGTAATTGTTATTGCAAGGAAAATGAGCAATAGCGAGATGACAATGTCCAGAATGCACAATCACATTGAAGGCCAGATAGTATCACAGTGTCCAGAAAGCAGAAATGCACCAATATAACACCAATGAAGAATTTTGCCACGACAGTTCAAGGATGCCACGTCAGCACTTGTTTTCCATATCAGTATGGTTCTGTGATCAATAGCATGCCACATTAACACCAGCCTTCATCATTGGTGCTTGCCTGCCACATAAGCATGCTCAGACCGTCCTACGTCGGCAATCTCTATCCATGTCAGCAAATGGCATGTCACTGTAGCGCATCACTGTAGAGCATCACTGTAGCTCGTCACTATAGCAGTGCATCACTGTGGCACTGCCATGTCAGCATCCAGGTCCTCTTCAGCCACATGGCACTTCTTCTCCTCGGCAATGCAACACAAGCCGCACTTCAACACCGCGGCGAACGTCTACTACTGACACATCATCATCATCATCATAAGTACAGCACTGAGGTAGGAAAAACTGCTCTGATACCAAATTGCAATGAACCCAGTCTCGTTGAGAAGCCAATTAGCAATGCCGCACAGTCTCAACCCAGCGCCTAATATGAAGTCTCCAGAAATGATTTCAAGTCTGTGAGGAACAAGCCCTCAAGTGGCCCCTATCAGACATCACATTGTTCTGGGCCAAGACCCCAGCAAGCCAAGTGCCCGCCCTGAGTGAAGGCGGGCCTGAATATTCGTCACAGGCCAAATTCGACATTTCCATATGTGGGTATTCAGGCTCTTGCAGCGCGTCAGTTGGTTGAGTGAACGCGCGGGCCTCACTAAGCTGCGCCGTACAGTTGGCCCAGGCCACGAAAGTTGTGCCTGGGCACCTACACACAAAGCAGGGCCGATACATTGAGAAGCAGGCCGTCGGCCTCTGGAAAAGCAGTACAGCCGACGCACCTACCTGGGGGCCCTGCGCAGATGCAGCTAACAGCCCAGACCCAGGCCGCGCCCAACTGTAAAGGGCCCAGGCCCTC